TGAGAATGGACTAATACTGGCTGCAATTTTACCACTCCACCAACAAGCATCAAGGTTCCTGTTTCTTCACATCCTCACCAAAAGTTGTTATTATCTGGAACAGAACTATTTTGAATGAAAATATAAACTCATTAAAACAGAAAAATTCTAATTAGATTATGTTATATGTATTTAAGGGGGCCCATATATCAGTCACGTGATATTGGAACTTAAAGCTGAATGCCACTTTGTAGCTCTGTGTACAAAACACCTCGCTGGAGTCTAATGATCTTATCATTAGTGTTCACCAGGTGGTTGGGAAATGCAGGTTTTCTTTTATGTCTAATTGAGAGAGGTAAAGGGTGAAATGATTATATGTGTAAAGCTGTTGAAAGTTAAATCTATGTCTGACATACAATTAAATATAATTGAAATACGACTAATTGAATAACAAAATTAAATTTACAAAATACGATATGAATGAAAATTATTACATGTATGCTGCTTGGTAGGATATTTGGGTGGTGCATTAGCATGAGGGCCAGAACCTCGTATTTGTGCTTACTTGACGTGGTTCCCACCTGCCCAGGCTTGCCTCCTGTACTTCCCTACATTGGTATATCAAAGGAGTTCACGAGACATTCTCCAGCCAGCACCCTGCACAGAGAGGATTTCTTTCTTTTTCCTTTTTTTTTTCTTTTTCCTGAAGCACATGAGTTTAGTGCGGTTAGGAAGGAAAATAGAATCTGACTCAGATTTGCTTTTAATGAATCCAGGAGACCTGACAATGATATATTATAAAAAACAAAAATAAAAATCTGACAGTACCCCCCAACTTGTCAGCGGCTTTCCATAGCCCATGATTGGGATGAGTGAGTCTCAGTGCATAAGTCTCAGTGCGTTGCAGTGGTCTCTGTGGCTTGACCGCTGCCCACACCTTCAGCTTGAGCTGCTGCCGCTCTCTGAGTACTGAAATGTTTGTAGTTCCCTGAGGGCACATACTGTGACACTCCTGCATTCTCTACTAGTGTTTAGTTTCCTTTGCTGGGAGTACCTTCCTCTCTCTGCAAGACTCAATTTAGGCACCACCTCCCCCAGGAAGCATTACAGATCCCCCAAGGCTCTACTAGGTTCCAGACATGGCATTAATCTGGGTGCGTTGTTTACCATGCTGAACAAAAATGGAAAAAGTCTCTAGTCTAGTGGAGATTATATTTTACCTAAGAGAGAAACTGAACAAGAAATATAGAAATGTCACCTACCTTGCATAGTTGAAGGTGACAGGTCTAGGAAATACAAAGATAGTTAAGCAGAATAATGAGAATGGAAAATGTAGGGGATGGGAAAGGTGGAATACTGCATTCAATAAGGTAGGTGGATGGGCCTCACCTTCTAGACGGCCTTAAAAAGGATGAGGGAATCTGTGATGTGGCTAAATCTCAGAAAAGAGCTTTACAGGCAGAGCAAACAGCCAGCCAAAGAGATTACTCTATTGTCAGAGTCTCCATGTTAAACTAATAAAATTCCATCCATAAAGGAAGTTGATAGGTTGGTTTTCCAAAGTATCCTTTCTATATATAGACCAATATATACATATTTCCATTTCAATTTTTGAAATCTAAAATGAAGTTCAAAGACAAATCTCTCCTTTGCCCTCTTCCCTCCCCACACTCCTACACAATGCACATTTTGTGGACTATTAATAGTCTAGAATTCCTTGTCAGAAATTACTGTACACCTAAGTTGTATGGATCATACTGTCTTCTTTCTCCAACACAAGATCCAGATTTGCCTGTGAAATATATGCCCATAGTAGTTTTCTATTTCCTGAGGGCCGGTTCTGCCTCTGCTCTTCCTTCTCTGAGTCATTTACCTTTATGTCCTGTCTTCTCTCAGTTTTTAATTTCTTTCCACATAATTGCCTATTAGTGTTTTCTGGTTGATCTTTTGTGCTAAATTCTAATTACCATTCTGTGAATTCTTCCTCCTATTTGATAAACCAGAGTGAAGAGGTGTTCTAAGGTCTTCACCTTCTCTTCAGTGGCTTGCATTAAATCCGTACATTTCTGAGACTTCCCCTTCCCCAGGAAGAAATCTAGCATAGCCCTTGCACAGCGTTTTAAGAATCTTTACTACTCCTGGGCCGGGCTCGGTGGCTCTTGCCTGTAATCCCAGCACTTGGGAGGCCGAGGCAGGCAGATCATGAGGTCAGGAGATCGAGACCATCCTGGTGAACATGGTGAAATGCAATCTCTACTAAAAATACAAAAAATTAGTCAGGCGTGGTGGTGGGCACCTGTAGTCCCAGCTACTCGGGAGGCTGAGGCAGGAGAATGGCATGAACCCGGAAGGTGGAGGCAGAGATTGCACCACTGCGCTCCAGCCTGGGCGACAGAGCAAGACTGTGCCTCAAAAAAAAAAAAAAACCTACTCCTAGATGGGTGTGGTGGCTTATACCTGTAATCCCAGCACTTGGGAGGCCAAGGCAGGTGGATCACCTGAGGTTGGAAGTTTGAGACCAACCTGGCCAACCATGGCCAACATGGTGTAAAACCCCATCTCTATTAAAAATACAAAAATTAGCTGGGCGCAGGGGTGGGCACCTGTAATCCCAGCTACTTGGGAGACTGAAGCAGGAGAATCACTTGAACCTGAAGTTGCAAATGAGCAGAGATTGCACCACTGCACTCCAGCCTGGGTGACAGAGTGAGACTCCATCTCAAAAAAAAAAAAAAAAAAAAAATGTTTACTGTTCCCATATTTACTGATTATATTTGGGTTTGGGAGATATCTTGACCACTAAAATTTTTTAAAAAAAAATTTTTGCTATATTACCTACTATTTTTCACAATTTTTAAGTAGCATGATTTTTCATGTCATTATTATATATTTTTAGGTGATTTTGGAAGTAAATGCTAGGAATATATTTATTCCTCTATAGCTTCGTGCTCTAACAACATAATAATCTAAGTTAAAGAACTGGCTCAAGACTTGTAAATGTGTATTTTTTTGGATTAAAAATATTTTTTTCCATTTCTCTTGTGTCTCTTTTTATTTCCATATATTAAAGTTTTAAGTGCCAGATGTATATAATCTTTTTTTTTTTTTTTTTAAATTTCCTGAATGTCACATCCTGCAACTTCTTCACAAGCTACATTTGTTAAACAGGAGATGGTGAAAGGTTTGTTATCCCCGCCCGCCCCCGCCCCTGCCCCCGCCCCCGCCCCCGCCCCGCACCAACCAACATAGTCATTTAATGCTCATCAGAGATAATTGCTCTGCGAATTTAGTTGATTTGTGCTTACCTTGCTGTCAGTGTTCGATTTTACGGAAGCTAGGAAAGATATATAAATGTACCTTTGCATTTTAGAGAAAGTTTTATTTTATCCTATATCCTGTGTTACATCACTATATTTTAATTGTGGATTTTTTGGTTCACTTTTCTCCTTTACTTTAAATTTTTTATCGAAGTAATAATTGCATTGTTTAAAAGTCAAATAATATTGACAATGCTTACACACAAAAAATAGTATTTATGTCACTCTATCTCTCACTAGTTCTTGTCAGCTCTTCTCATCCCTCCCCACCTGTGAGGGTTAAGCTACACTTTGGTTAGTCCAAACGCACTTTCCAGTACGCTTACCATGTTATGACTTATCTCCTCTATACACGCATAGGAAAATTATCAGTAATAGCGGTTTCTAGAGTAGTACTTGAGGAGGGTGACAGGCGGCATGTGCATGCTTCATGACCTTACTCAATCAAACACTCTACTCTTGATTTACTGCTAAATCCTCCTTGAATCTTTCGATTTCCTAAAGGCTATCATGAGATTTTCTGGATATAGAAAATGTAGCCAATTAGTTTCTGTCAACTTCATTACCATTGGTTTGTGTGTGTGTGTGTGTTGCTTAGATCCACATTTTACATAAGAATACATATTCTGGTATTTCTAGATTTTTTCATTCTTACCTTTTATTGACAACAGAAGAAAAGGATCTAGCCTGCAAATACTATAACATCCCAACACAGTGATGTCAAATACTACTAAAAATTTTGTTGTCTTCCAAAGGAAATATTTTATTCATTCTAAAATATGATGAAAGTTCAGTATTTTAGAAAATAAAAGTCTGACTTTTCATAATAGGTTGTCAGGAAACTACACTGAAAGCAAAATATTAGAGCCAGTAGGTGGTTATGTGTTTAATTTTAAGAGGATAACAATATTAACAAATTCCATTTGGCAACAGCATTAAAATTGCACCTGAGAAAATCTTCATTTACTCTTATCTTGCAGCAGTCACTGAAGGAGTTTTGTTGTTTTTATAGGTGCAGGGGTGAAAGTTTAGCTCCACTTAAAAGAACAAAGGTGCTAAAGAGAAACTATTCTGAGAATCATAGATTTGCATGAAAAACCTCACAAAAGAAAAATAGTAATTGCCTCAGCATGAGAGATGGAACATATTTTAAGATAATTGGAAATTATTTTGTATGTGCTTTCATTGATTTAGTTTTGATTTCATGTATGTACTTTGTTTCTATCTCATTTTTTTTTTTTTCTTAATGGATTCTAAATAATGTAAAACCCTTCAGAGACTCTTATTGCTACTTGTGAAATTACCTTTCTCTGTATCATTGGATGTAATTTTTTTGTCAGTCAGTCTTACAAGAAAAAAGTATCTTAGCAAAGGCTATTACATTTTATCAATCCGACATTTGTGAAAAGCCTAAAAGTACATTTTGTGCAAATTCAAATACACTGTAACAATTTCCCTTAGATGAAAATTTTAAAGCTGTTTCTTTTTTTTGTACAGTTAAGTTTTACAGAAATTATCTTTTTTCCTTTGTATTTTTCTTCATTCATATCTATAAAATTTACATTTTGGCTTCTAACTTAGCTGAAATGCTTGCTATTAGTCATTTTCTTGCTAACTGTGGTCAGAAGTGATATAGTTGACGACGTCCCTTAATTTGGTGAACACGTGAGGTTACAAACTCAACTTTTGCTTCTCTTTTGAAAGGCCCTGAGACGGGAGTTAAAGGAGAAAGAATATTCCGTCCTGAATGCTGTCGACCAGGCCCGAGTTTTCTTGGCCGATCAGCCGATTGAGGCCCCTGAAGAACCAAGAAGAAACCTACAATCAAAAACAGGTGAGACTGATTTCTCCGCTACATCATAAAAACACATGCTAGGAGAACAAAAGACCCAAAATCAAGTAGGAAATTTCCTTATAGCATTTTAGTATCTAATATTTAAATCTTTTCTTCTAAGTGTTACTTTATTTAAATATGTCATTAATTAACAGATATCTAGATTCTTAAATTAAGAAAATAAAATTTTTGTATACCTCAATATCAATTTTAAAGGAAATTAACTGCAGAAAAAATGGATTGATCTAAAAAGTGTACTGTAACTATAAAAATAATTTCTGTAAGAAATAAAAATTTATATTTCTTATAAACCAGTTACATGATAAATAATTGCAAGTAGTAGTAGGAAGTTATTAAAATATAAAAGTAAATATATAAAATATTTCAAGGTCTATAAGTAAGATTACTTTTGATAATGACACACCAAAGTCCTTTCTTTTACAAGCAGACATTTCTTTAATTTTAAAATAACACAGTGTAGTGTTTATTTACTTTGACTTAAAATTTAAGTGATAACTACCTTACTAGCAAATTTACTAGTAAAAAACATATTTCTTATATTTAAACATGTTATGTGATAATAATTGCAAGTAGAAGAAATTTATTAAAATATAATAGTAACTATATAAAATATTTAAATATCTATATGTAAGGTTACTTTTTAAAATGATACACCTAAATACTTTTCTTTTACAAGCAGACAACAGCATTTGTTTAATTTAAAAATAACCCGCCACTGCACTCCAGCCTGGGTGACAGAGCGAGACTCCGTCTCCAAAAAAAAAAATTAAAAAATAAAAATAAATAAATAAATAAATAAATAAATAAAAATAACCTGTAACATTTATGTACTTTAGCTTAAAATTGAAACAGTAACTACCCTACTAACAAATAGCAATACATCATATAATAAACGTAAGAGAAAATGTGTAATGAATTCTGGGTCCATTGTATATCTGTATTGTGGTTTTTCACTGCTGACAATAAAATCATTCTGATACATTTTTTAAAATAAACATGCCATTCAAAATCATTTTTCATCATTAACTTCACATAGTAACAGCAAACCTGAAAGATTGCCTCTTACTGTGTAATTCATAAACATTTATTACTTGTAAGGGAAGCATAGTTGGAAAATGCTTTCTTTGACTATAACTGGAACTGGAGCGGACATATGGACAGGTAGCCATTTTCCTACTGAATCGTACGCAAGGAACCTTCTTCAGTCCGAATAAATTTCCCATCAAGACCATAATCTTTTTGACTCTCTGAAACTAATTCTATATATGTGTGTGTATGTACACACACACACACAGAGCCCACTTAACTTGTCTGGCATTTCTTTTTATTTTCTGCTGGTGATATCACCGTCTTTCCAGTTAGCCTCCTAGAAAGCTAAGTCATTGTTGAGTCTTCCACTTTTCACCAAATCCAGTGGTCTACAAATCACTCATAATTATTATTTCTTTTCTTTTTCTTTTTGTTTTTTGAGATAGAGTCTCACTCTGTCACCTAGGCTGGAGTGTAGTGGTGCGATCCCGGCTCACTGCAACCTCTGCCTCCTAGGTTTAAGTGATTCTCATACCTCAGTCCCCCACATAGCTGGAACTACAGGCATCTGCCACCACACCCAGCTAGTTTTCGTATTTTTAGTAGAGATGAGGTTTCTCCATGTTGGCAAGGCTGGTCTCGAACTCCTGGCCTCAAGTGATCTGCCTGCCTCAGCCTCCCAAAGTGCTGAGATTACAGACGTAAGCCACTGCACTCAGCCTTACGTTTGTCATATTTCTATCTTTGAAGAATTATTCCTTCTGAGTACTATGGTTTTATATATATATATATAATATGTATACACACACACGTACCTATACACACAATATACTCATGTACACACACATACTGCCATTAATTCCATAATTCCACATTCTCAGCCTTCTGTGTGTAGACTTGGAATAGTTTTAGGCAGAATCTGTTGCTACTTTTGGTAGCATCGGTCCCATTGCATTGTTCTATCATCTGTGTGCAGCACATACTATTTGCCCGTATATTCTCCCTTGTCCACTTAGTCTACTACTGATAAGTAAATCTTATCATATAATCATATTCATGTTTCTCCCCTGATTATATATCTTTCTTGACTTTCCATTACATACTGAAAAAAAAATCTTGGCCTCCAGCATGACATATTTTATTTTATTTTATTTTATTTTCATTTTATTTCATTTTATGTATTATTTTGCGACAGGTTTTGCTCTGTTGTCCAGGCTGAAGTGTAGTGGTGAAATCATGGCCTACTGCACGTCAGTGTCCCAGGATCAAGTGATTCTCCCACTTCAGCTTACTGAGTAGCTAAGATTATAGGCTATGTTTTTAAAAAGTTTTCGTAGAGATGGAATCTCATTGTATTGTCTACGTTGGTCATGAACTCCTGGGCTCAAGCCATCTTCCCCTTTTGGTCTCCAAAAGGGCTGAGATTACAGCCATGAGCCATATGCCCAGCCTAGCATAATATTTATTTTAAAAATCTCTGTAGACCAGGCGCGATGGCTCATGCCTTTAATCACAGCACTTTGGGAGGCCGAGGCTGGTGGATCACGAGGTCAGGAGATGGAGACCAGCCTGGCCAACATGGTGAAACCCTGTCTCTACTAAAATACAAAAAATTAGCCAAGCTTGGTGGTGCATGCCTGTAGTCCCAGCTACTCAGGAGGCTGAGGTAGGGGAATCGCTTGAACCTGGGAGGCAGAGATTGCAGTGAGCCGAGATAATACCCCAGCCTGGTGACACAGCCAAACTCTGTCTCAAAAAAAAAAAAAAAAAAACTTTGTAATTGAAGCCCTCCTGATTTTTCAACAAATTTTTTACTACCATTTTTATAGTTCCATAACCAATCTATACTATCTACTTCCTTGAATGATTTTGGAACTGTCTTGTCATGGATGTGCTACCTTCTCTTCTTTCATCTTTTGAAGTTCTTTCAAAAGAACATTTTAAGGCTTGCTTATGTCCTTCATATACGATATTAGAATGGTTAAGAGCCTTAGAGATGAACTAGTCCAAGGCTACTCACTTAATAGATGAGAAAACTGAGGTCCATCAAGGAAAAATGAACTGCTCAGGTCTCAGCCCAGTCCTGTTGGATATCTAACATATGCAGCTTTTATTTGTATTGATTTTCAGATGTTAACATTTTCTTACTTTCCCTAAGTTCAGGAATCCAGTTTTGATCATTTTACAACCTATGCAATGCCTATGTATATCAGGTACTCAATAAAAGTTTCATGAAGGGTACATGACTGCCTGAGTATATAAGAGGTATAAAGAAATTCATTTATTTATTATTCTGACTTTATATACAACCTATTACAAGAATGTTTTTATGAGCTAGATGTTTAACAATGATTCCTTTCTACTCCACTCTTCCCACCACCATCACCATATTTAACAACAAGGAAAATGAGCCCAGATGTCTCATGTACCCACAAAAATTTTACAAAAAGGAAACAAGCCCAAACTGTAGAGAATTCTTTGAAAGAGTTGAACTCATCAGTACTTACTTTTCCTCACAATCTTGAGTCTATAAAGAATAACTGTAGATGGAGAAACTGATATTATCAGCAGTAGAGTAATTGGATTATTGGTTTTTAAGACAAAATGGAAATAAACCCCAACTTTTCTAGAATAAGCGCTCAACATTTACGAAATTCCTTTCCTATATCTATCAAGAAACCCCTGCCCCCTCTTGCCACCCTGAGTCCATTCTTCCTGCAGTCTTTGCATCTTACCTCATGCCCCTCCATCTTCTGGGTTGCTCAGGCTAAAATCCATTGGCCGCTATTGGCTCCTTTGTCCTTTTGTCACCCAAATCCATTTTGTCAGCAAGTCCTGTCATCACTACATTCAAAATGTACCTAGAATATGATCCTTTATCACCACATCTACTATGCTCTCCTGGTCTAAGCCCCTTCTACCCCCTTGGATGGTTGTAGGTTCCTTCAACTCATCTCCCTGCTCTGACTTTGCTCCCTTATTAGAGATTTCCAACACAACAGCCATAAGGAGCATTTGAATATGTAAGTCATATCATGTGACTCAGAGAAGTCAGATTCTTATAATGGCTCACAGACTCTATGCCAGGGGATGCCATGTTACGTTTCTGACCTGGTCTCTTATTATGGTCCCTTTCATTCCACTTCCTGCAGGTGTAAGCTCCATGAAGACAGAGAGTTATTTTTTTTTCCACTGCTCTGTTTTGTAATATTTAGAATACTATCTGGCACATGGTAGGTGCTTATTACATAGTGTTTGAATGAATACATACATAAGCTGAGTACTGTCCAAGATGGATAAAGAAGTATAAGACGTTCCTGAGGTTTCAATTTAGTGGGAGATCAAAACTAGCACAGAGGGTGAGAAGGCAAGCCATGTAAAAGTGTCCATACTCATGCGCTCAGTTGTGTCCTGAGGATTCTAAGTGATGTGGGCATTCCAGGAGAGAAAGACTCTGAGGGTCAGAGTGGAGAGGTTGTTTCCTGAGCTAGTCTTAGGCGTATGGACAGGTAGGAAGTGATTAAGTTCGAGAAAGATGGATGGCCATACTGGGGGACAGGATCCTTAGCAGAACAGCTCAGCCATAAGGAAAATGCAGCTGTATTTTGGGGAGTCAGTAGACAGCCTGGCCTGGTTGCCTGTACGGTAGATGGGAATGAGATGCTTGTATGTGCTGAACGGTTCAGACTACAGAGGACCTGGAAAGTCAGGCAGAACACTGTAACTTCATACAACGAGAAAGAAGGTGCTACTACAGTTTTGTTTTTTTAAGCTTGGGGAAAAAAATAAGAAGTTCACTTGTCTCATCCAATTTAAAATCTACCTTCAGTCGGCTTTTCTTGTCTCCTTGCTTCCCGAGTACTTTGCAAAGTTTATAAAAAGCTACTTTAGAGCAGTACAAACTGTTACATCACTAAAACTCCACATTATTCTAGACTCTCCTCAGTGGT